CTTCTCAAAATTATCTAAATTTTCAACTTTCGCCAAATGACCCCAAAATGACCTATGGACCTCCAAATCCACTTCTGGTTGCGCTCCCAATACCGAAATCACTATACGGAGCTATTCCCAGACTCGAAATTCCAAACGGAAATCGATAACATTGAAATACACTTCAACCCAAATTTATGGAATTCTTCCAAAATGCTAACCTCCACAATAGGTGCCAAAACGCTCCCGGGGTATCCAGAATCCAATCCGAACATACTCCCAAGTCTGAAATCATCATACGAATCTGCTGGAACCTTCAAATCCCGATTCCAAGGCCGTTTACTCTAAAATCCAATCTTAGTCAATTCTTCCAATTTAAAGCTTTCGAAATGAGAATTTTCTTTCCAATTCAACTCTGAACTTCCCGAAATTCAATCCCGACCATGCGTACAAGTCACAATACCTGAAGTGAAGTTGCTCATGGCCTCAAACCGCCGAACGACACGCTAGAGCTCAAAACGACCGATCGGATCGTTACACATGAATCTCTACATCTCTTAACCATGAATCTCCACATGAAATACTACCATTTATCAATAATTTATCCCACCATCATTCTTAAATAATTCATAACTTCCAACATCACATACATGACTATCCATCCACACCCAACCAACAAAATTCTATCAAATAATCACATTTCAATCTCTACAATGGTTAAGTATTTAAATTGAGAACTTATGGCTTCCAATCACCATACCATAAGTTTAAATACCTAGTTCATACTCATTTTTCCATAATATATCCATACATGTAAGTCTAAGGGTGTATGATTACCTTTTGGAAGAAATCTTGCAAAACCCTCCTTTGAGTTCTTGAAGAAATTTCTTGAAGATCTAAGTATTTTATGTGTAGATTTCATCAATACTAGTATAGAAATAATAGAATTTCACATCAAGATAATGGGGATTACTTACCTTGAAGAAGAGGGGAGTTGGTGGTCTTAAGCGAGTGGAGAAGAGCTCCAAAATTCGTCCAAATAAAAATGGGGAAAATGAGCCCCGAATTGGCTTAAAAGAGCTGGAGCTGAGGCACGTCTACTCTAGCGAAGTGTGCCTCACTTCGCTGTCCACTGCAGACAAGGGAAGACAAAATCCGCGTCTGGTTTGGCGAAGCGAGCTTCGCTTCGCTGTCCGCCAAATTAACTAGGTGGTATAACTTTAGTAATTTGATCATAACTTTTATTTGGAATGTACAAATGATGAACGGTTTGATGCGTTAGAAACTGTACTCAAAGGGCTTTAATTTGGTAGGTTATACACCATATAACTCTTCATATCATGAGAGTTATGCTCGTTTGAAATTATATCTTGTGCAAACTCACTTGAAACTTTATCCCATCATATAATTTTCAACTTGACTTAGCTTTAGGGCTCTTCTTAGACCCTAAACCATTTTTAATGCACCTCATACATATATTATCGTGATCAATTAATTTCATTCAAATTATCAATCTTGTTCATACCAGAATTGATATAATTAGCACCATTCAATCTTCTTAATGGTCTTAAAATACTTAGAAATTTTTCGGGGGTGTTACAGTGCTTCTATACAACAGTTGATTAAAAACTTTTTCTAGGAAATTTTAAATCTCGTTGGACTGCTCCTTTCTTGGTTACAAACGTCACACCCTATAGAACAGTTGTGATCCAACAATAGGAGGACGATAATAAAGTAAATGGAGAAAATAAATTTAAAGTTAATGTGCACAAATTAAAGCTATATGTCAATGGAGGATTTGATAAAATTATATTTGCAATCATCATCAGGTAAGTTAACAGAAAAAAAATAAGTTGAGCTGACGACAATAAACTTAGAACTAATTTCTTCTTCTTCTTCTTTTTTATGATGCAATTATATCCCATATATCTATTTTGTATGTGTGTGTGTGTGGGGGGGGGGGGGGAGGGGGGTATATATATATATATACATGTATGTATATGTATGTATAAGTATTCAAAAAAAAAGGGAAAATATCCTTAAATAAATATTTTATATATGTATTGGTATTTTAAGCAGATTGATGTGTATAGAAAGTACATATATTAAACTAATACAGAAATAGGCTACATTGTAAATAAAAAAAACTTGAAAAAAAAACATGTAGTAATTCTAGTTGTTCTCACGTAGTAAGCTTGAAAAGTACATATTACAACTATTGATGGCATCAGATGTGTGAGGTCATTCTCTTTCCCATTCGTAGAAAATAAATATATTAGAAACCTTTGGAAATTACAAAGAGTCTGATGCACCTGTGCTCCTCAATTCTCGTGATTTGAATTAACCAAAGAATGTCACAAAAGTGGTTCAAGTTTGTCACTATCCGAAATTCTCACCTTCGGGATCGTGATGGCGCCTAACATTTCACTTGCTAGGCAAGTCAACGTTAGAATACTTGTAGCCATTTTTAACAATTTAATTTAATTAATAATAAAGAAACCAAATAACTGGAATAAAATCTGAACTAAAGTGAATAAACCAAAATAATAGCGATGTCTAAATACCATCCCAGAACTGGTGTCACAAGTGCACGAGCTACTAGAATAATACAAATAAAGGTCTGAATAAAAATAACGTTGTCTGAAAGAAAATACACAGCTAATATAAAGTAGAAGGGGACTTCAGAGTTGCGAACGCCGTGCAGCTATGCCTCAAGCCTCCTCTGGTAGCTGAATCCGAGCAAGTTTACGGTACGCAGCTGGGACCAACTCTGGTATCTGCACAAGAAGTGCAGAGTGTAGTATGAGTACAACCGAATACTCTGTAAGTGTCGAGCCTAACCTTGATGAAGTAGTGACGAGGCTAAAGCATGTCGCTTACATTAACCTGTATAATAATAATAACATGAATAGAGGTAAAAACAGGTAACTCACAACAATCGAGGCCAATTCGGCAGTCACAATCAATTATTACTTGTATCATTCTATTGCGGCGTGCAACCCGCAATCAATTCTGTTGCAGCGTGCAACCCGATCCCACAATACAAACTTTTATTCAATACTGTAGCGGCGTACAACCCGCTTCTATATATATATATANTACGTACGACTACTTCAATAAATGCCACAATTAATATGAAGCTATAAGGCAACAAGGTATACAACAATTATGATTTATGTAGGAAACAAATAGGAACAAGTAACAAATAAGTGTGAAATCGGGGAGGAGATAGATAATTTAATATACGAAATGCTAAATGTCAAGTAGAAATTATGACACAAAAGTCAAAAAAGCATGTAGCAATTAAGGCATGAAATTAAGGCATAATAGTAGGCAATGAAAATAAGAAAATCAATTAATAAAATAATTAAGTCATGAAATAAGGCAATTAGTGAAATTCGTAAAAGCATGGAAACAAGCAATTTGACGACGTATAGACACTCGTCACCTCGTCTATACACCACTACACATGAAATTCACGTAATACATAGTTCAAGGGTTCTATTCCCTCAAGTCAAGGTTAATCACGACACTTACCTTGCTTCGCAATTCAAGTGATCATTCGACCACGGCCTTTCCTTTTGAATTAGTTTCCAAATCAATCAAACCTAGCAATTTATTGGCCAATAATTCAATTGGAGCTTTAGAAATTATTTACAATTTGAAAGAGACTTAATTTAAGACATTTTCGGAAAAGTCAACCGAAAGTCAATGTGGGGCCCACTTTTTGGAACCCGAAAAATATTTACGGAATTCGAACACCCGTTCCGATACGAGTTAAACCATACAAAAATTATTGAATTCCGACATCAGATCGCCTTTCAAATCTTTATTTTTTATTTTTGAAAGATTTTACAAAAATCTCATTTTCTTCCATTAAATTCACTAATTAATAATTTAAATAAGTATAAAATCATGAAATATAATTATTTTAGGATAAAGAACACTTACCCAGCTCAAACTCGTGAAAAATCTCTTTGGAATCGCCCAAATCCGAGACTTAAAACTCAAAAATGAGCAAAAACGTTGAACTCCGAATTTATGCATTCTGTCGAGCATTTTCGCATCTGCGAGCTCGCATTTGCGATGTCAAGCAGCCATGCAAAGGACCGCACATGCAGAACTTCATGTTGTATTTGCGACTCCACAGAAGCGCAAATGAAGCCGCAGAGGCCCATCGCATTTGTGATTCGTTAGCCGCAGAAGCGGCATCGCACCTGCGTGAAAATCTCCGTAGAAGCAGCAAGGCATGGCCATTTCCATCATCCCAGAAGCGACCAGAATACCGCAAAAGCGGCCACGTACCTGTGGATATAATGTCGCAGGTGCGACGCACCAGAACCAGACCTGAGCAGCATGTTCCGAAGGATTTGTGGCTCATCCGAGCCACTAGGAACCTCGTCCGAATATTTCAAAAAGTCCCGTAACATAATACGGACCTACTCGGGGTCTTAAATTACAACAAACAACGGCGAAACTACAAATTGCACGTCGATTCAGACTTATGAGTTTATGAAATTTTTAATTCTATAACTCACGTCGAAACATGTCAAATCAATCCGGAATTGTGAACACCTAATTTTTTAACCGTACCCAAATTCGATACTATTTTAGTGCAAATATTTCTTTTAGGTCTAATCTTAATATTTTAAACTTTTATCTTACTCTTAATAGGTTTTATTTGAAAAAAAATATATTAAATACTACAAAAATAGTCACATTCTTAGAGTATAAATTTAGAGTATAAATNAATAAAAATTCAAAAATGAAGTAAAATCACGTTAAAGTGATAAAGTTTGATAACTAACTTTATTTAAAATCTGATTTTTACTTTAAAAAATCTGATCAATCCCAACTTCCCCCACTCCTCACGTTACTCTACACCAATGTACACACTCACGCCCCAATCCCCATGTCCCCCACTCTTTCACGCACACACACCAACACATTAACTTCTCTCACCCATACATCTATATATAATACAAACACATTACATAAAAGAGAAGAAGGAAAAAATTGGGAACAGAGGAAAAAACGAGATTGAGAGAAAATGAGAAAGAACGGAATCTAAAAATAAAAATCAGCACTAAACAACCATCTCTTTGATACCATTAACGTCACTTTTACTCCTTCTTTAACCATCTCCTTCATTCCTTTTTCACCATTGTTTTCAGCTATTAAAAGCGGTTCTCTATTTCCATAAACCACCACAGTCCTCCTCTCGATAAGGTGTAGTCAAGGTGATTCGAGTTGTTTTCGGTTCTGTTTAAAAGATGAGGTTGCCGTTCAAGTTTTGCGACAAAGGTTCTGGTCTGGTTCTTTTGATAAGTTAACTTTTGCTAATTGAAAGATACTCCTGTACAAATCTTGCCTTATCAATATTGAAGAAAGTTTACTTCGTCGAGGTAACAATTTTTATAGTCTCTGTCCATTGAAGCTTTCAAATACGTGCTTGATTAGTTATATAAAGCTCGTGAAACTGGGTTTAAAATTTAGTTTACAATCATCTATACTATGGTTCATTTTTCTTTCTATTTATTTTCTCATTAATGTTTTGGGTCACTTTTGTTTCGATTTAATTTTTGAGTCTGATATAATTAGGTTTGTATATAATTGAGTTTACATCTGAGTATGCTTAGTTTGATATGTCTTCTGTCGAATATGTTTCAAGATTGGTTTGTTGTCTTTTTTTTTTTTTTGAAAGTTCATATGATTAACCTCATTGATTAACTTGTATTAATATTTCTGCTTTTCTTGTTTACTGTATGAATTATTCCTTTTAGTACTAAACTTGTTTTCTAGAGGTAAATAATGGGAAATTAAGCTAGGAAGGAATTTATTCCACGAATTATTGGGTTTTCCATTTTGTCGTACCTTAGATCCATTTTAACCTCCTATCTTTCAGTGACTAACTTGTTCTGTTCATATCTATTTTATTCATGTAATAGATTTTAATCTAGTTTCATATATTGGTTAGTATTAAAATATAGGAAATTATGTTGGGCCATGATGGGTGTCAGACTATAATTGCATTTAAGACCTCCAACATATTTATGGGCTAATTAATTTTGCCACGGCCTGAAGATAAATGAACATGAATAAGTTATCCCATCTCTTGTAAATTAATAGCTATCAAAGTAACTTTAAAATATGCTAGTAAGTTTTAGAAGGACTTTAAATATTAGCTCATGTGTTCATACACGAACCTTGGATTGATATGCTTAAGTAATAAAAGGGTCATGTGTGCATTCCTGCGTCTTGATGCCTTTAAATTTAAAATAATTATGTTTTGACCATGTGTAAATTCCGTACCATGGTTTAACATTTATTTTCAAATAAATACCTTGTGTGCATACCGCATCTAGGTCAAAATAATTAATAAAATATAATAAATTAAGTGAAGTTGTAATAGACAAGCCATAACCAATAAAATACAAGAATAGCCAAGAATTGATTTAAGCCGGACATGAGTCAATAAAGCGACCGTGCTAGAACCACGGGACTCGAGGGGTGCCTCACACCTTCCCCTCAGTCAACAGAATTTCTTACCCAGTCTTCTGTTTTCATAGACTATAAATAAGGAGTCAAACCTTCCATTTGATAAGGGATTGAAATAAAAGATGACTTGGAACACCAAAACTTAATTCCAAGTGGCGGCTCTATATAATAAATAATCCCTTTTCAAAACATCACTTTAATTGGAAAAACTCTTCTAATTCAACCTCGTAATAAGGGTTGCGGGAAAAAAAGAGGCGTGACAGCTCTGGCGACTCTGCTGGGGAGCAATTAATAAGAATTCGAGCTTTGTATATTGATTCTTATTTGGCTTTTATCATGTTTTGGATATTATTGTATTTGGGAGCCTAATGTGCTATTTGTCGCTTATTTATCGCTTTAATATTTATGTGAACTGTGATATAAATTGTATCCTCTCTCGCACCCCTCTGAGTATTCTGATAGGTAGTTATGTTGTGTTTGCCTACCAGCATCACAAAATTTCTGTCTTGAGATAAAGCCAGTTAGCCTATCAGCTTCTGGTGAAGGATTTAGTCACACATGTTTAGGCGGGAGAGCCGTTAGCTAGCCAGTGTTGTTCTACTACTGGTGACGCTTGACGCTCCTCGGCTCGGGTCGTCCATCCGGGTAAGCCAGGTCTAAATACCATCTCCTTTTGGATTTGAAAACTTTGAAGAACAAGCCACCAACAATGAATATCTCTAGTAGGCTACGCTTTATTTGCATCACGTGCATTGGACTTAGCGGAACTCGGCACAGGGGTTGGGCCCGTCTAGTACAGGTACCAATTTTTCAGACCAACATGTTCATTTTTCTGTGCTACGTGTAACATTATTTGGTAGGCTTTACTGAAATATTGACCGGATTTAGGATAGATTGATTGAACAGGGAAGAGAGAAAGAGAAAAGTTCCTCAAAATTTTCATAAAAAACCCATTTTTTTAAAAATAAAATTTTGAAGATTTCTACTGTGTAAAATCATAATTTTCAAAATATTTTTTTTATTTAAACCGAACTACGCGGGTTTGATTCTCACCGAATATGAGATACGTAGGCAGCCTTCATCAGGTTCAACCCCATTAAAAATTTCCTTTTTTAAAAAAAAACAAAAAAAAAAGTGTCTATGGACTATTATTGTTTTTTTTTTCTAAATAATAATAATAATAATATAGTTATTTTGTCAGTTTTATCTCTTTTGACTAGTTTTGTCCTTGCGTCTGGTCCTTTTTTCGAAATAGCCTTGAAACATTCCTTAGAAATGCGAAATGGTCATTTTAACAAAAGAGGACAATTTTTTTTCTCTTCACTTGTTTTTACGAAAAAATAGTCATTTTGAGCCTTTTATTTTTTAATTTCATGATTATTTTACTAATGTAATTTTTTTTAGTCCCACAGTTTGGCTTTTATTTTTTATTTTTATAAAGTCAAAACCCAAGAAATCAATTTTTTTGTGTCAATAATATATTTGATTAAAGCCTAATCTCGTGTCTGGGTAAACAGGTACACCATGAGTGGGGGAAAGAGGTAAATCTGAAAAGAGGCCCAGATCAGAAGGGATACCGAATTTTCTAATTGTCGATCAGATACCACAGTTATAGTGGGATTGGTGGAGAGACTTTAAGGAATATAAGCGAAACCAAATAAAGAAGTACTTGAGACATTTGGTTCACATGATGACGATCAAGCTCAGGAGGGATGTGATCGAAGCTTTGATTCCGTAATCCTAAAAACAATGTGTTCCATTTTACCGACTGTAAAATGACTTCGACCTTGGAGGAAATCTCCCATTTTCAGGGGTGGGGCCGCAATCTTCGCCGCCAAAGGCCCATAGTACCAAAATGTGAATGAGGGTCAGTTTCTGAAGCTCCTGAACATAAATTACGGACAATATGAAGGTTTAGGAGGCAAGTGAGTTAAGTTGGAATTTCTGTTTCACTTGTATGGCCTAGAATGCAATTTCGAAAGGAATGTTGGAAAATTGAAATCAAAGGAAAATAAGGAAACATGGAAGGTTCACAGAAGGTTTGCATTTATGGTTGCTTTTTTGGGGCGTGTAGTTTTCTGAAAAGGGAAGGACGCATTGACTTCCGCTTGGCAGGTGTAGTTGAGGCTCTGACTTCAGAAGGGGATGATTATACTTTGGTCCATATGATTCTTTCTTGCATTTTTCGTGCTTTAACTAGATGTAAATTGGCCGCGCGAAACTTTGATGGCAGTAACATTTTGCTACATATATGGTTTTTGGAGCATTTTTATCGTCATCCTACGATCACTGATTTTAGGGAGCTATGGCCCAATCATACTTATGATCACCAGAAAAGAATTGACAAATGTGACTTACTAGAAGGCGTAGATGCCTGGAAAGAACTACTTCTTACTCTGTCCGCCAAACGAATCACTTGGAATTACGATTGGTTTTCCTCTAAAGAGGTCATCTGTGAGTCTGCATACCATTCTTATTTGGTACTCATAGGATTGGATGATGTTCATCCCTATGCTCCACTTTGGGTAATGCGCCAGTTTGCACGACTACAAGAGGTGCCACCAACACGAGATATGAGCAAGTTCTGTTATGATTTTGGTAAAGATCAACCTCATGACGAAGAAAAAATTATAAAAATTTGGTATGCAAGTAAAGTTTCGGAGTTGAATGAGATGGTAGAAGACCGAGATCGTGGAGAGGTGATCCGTGAATATATTACCTGGTTTAATGATCCTTCGTCGTTTGGAGATAGGCCTGACGGGTCGAACAAGAGGAGAAATGATCAAAGAACTATAGAAAGGCTGAAAGAGGAATTGGAGCATGCTCAGATGACCATAGCCAAACAATAAGCCCAGCAGCAAGCCGAAGTCGCTCAGATTCGTTTAAATATTGAGAAAGATTATCAATTTGCCTTACAGGTCATGGATAAAATATAAAACATGCTAAAAATGAGGCGGCCCACTTAGAAGAAGAACTGGCAAACACGATTGGTTTAGTCAGAATAGTTGAGGCGAACAAAAATGCTGAAATACATAAGCTGCAAGAAGACTTGAGTATCATTGAAGAGGATGCGCGCCAACAACAATTGGAGTTTGATCAGCAGAAAGAGTAGTTTGAAAGAGAAAGGGCCCACTGGAAATGCTCAAAGGGTCAGCTTCATGCACAATCAGAAGAAATAAAAAGGCAGAAAAGGGGTCATCAACATGCAGATTTTGAGGCAGAGCGGCGTCAGTGGATGTTTGAGAGAGGTGTGCTAAACTGTCTCATTGAAGAATATGAGGGACGAGAGGCTCAGATGGGGCACGCCCTCAACACTACCCAGATGTGGTTGTAGAACTGTCACGTGAATATGGGGCAAGCAAGAGAGCAAGTAATTCGATTGGTAGAAAAAGCAGCATATATTCACGATAATCATCTCCATCTAAACAATGAGAAATTTGGTCAACAGGCACGTGCCCTCGTCCCACAGTTGCCAATGGTGTTTCAAAATTTGTACAAGACTTTGGGGGAAGAATGGAGGCCAAGAGATGCAGACCATTGATGATATCAATTTAAGCAAGAAGACCATTGAAGAATAAAGTTTTAGTGCAATCAATTAGCTTTTAGTTTCATTTTCGTTTGTCGCATTTTAATTTTATATTTTGAGTCTTTTATTCTTATCAATATTTATTTTATTCCAGTCATGTTCATGTCTTTAGAGTCAGTAGAGTCAGTTTCTATATATTTCCTTTTCTCTCATTGTATATAAAAAAAATTTGATTGAAATGAATAAAAAATATTTTAGTTTGTTTTATTTTATTTTTATAAAAAAAAATCAAAATTGTTATTATTTCTCCCCTGAACTACGTAATGGTCTGATTCATGCGGCGNTAAGATTCATACAAGCATACTCCTCAGAACGTGTTCCCAATCGAGATCGAAAAGCTCGACAAAAATATGGAACAAGAGGAAATGACCAGAAAAATGAAGAGCCTGGAACAAACCATGAGAAACATACAGGGTTTGGGAGGCCACAAGAGTGTTTCGTTTAACGATCTATGCATGTTCCCCCATGTTCATTTGCCACCCGGCTTCAAGATCCCTAAAATTGACAAGTATGATGGGCATGGTGATCCCGTTGCCCACTTGAAGAGGTATTGTAACCAATTAAGGGGAGCAGGAGGCAAAGAAGAATTACTCATGGCTTATTTTGGGGAAAGTTTGACAGGAATTGCTTCATAGTGGTTCATAGATCAAGACATATCTCACTGGCACGTTTGGAACGACATGGCTCAAGATTTTGTCCAACAATTTTAGTATAATATTGATATAGTTCCAGACCGCTCCTCTCTCGTCAACATAAAGAAGAAACTAATAGAAAGCTTCAGAGAATATGCAATCAAGTGGAGAGAGTCGGTTGCTAGGGTCAAACCACCAATGAAAGAGGCAGAAATGATTGACTATTTTCTCCAAGCTCAGGATCCTGATTACCTCCATTACATGTTGGTTGCCATTGTTAAACCTTTCGCTGAGGCGATTAAGATTGGTGAAATAGTTGAGAATGGCATGAAGTCGGGAAAAATTGTGAGTCAGGCAGCCCTTAAGGCGACCACGCAAGCAATTCAAAGCGGGTCAGGCAGTTTCGGAAATCAAAAAAAGAAAGAGGAAGGATCCATGATGGCATCTGGGTTCGGGGGAGTTCAAGAGGAATAGTTCCTTCTTATGTGCAATTCCAATAAGGACAATCCAATTCTCCTCAACATTACTATCCACCTCAGGGTCCCCGGTACTCAGTTCCCCCACAACAATACACAGTGTTTAATGCTCAAGCTTATGCTAGGCCTCCCAATTATCAGCAATGGCGGGCACCGATTCCATAAGGCTCCCGTCAACTCTGGCCAAATTTTCAGTCGCCATATAATCCTCGTCTCCGACAGGAATATGTGAGAGAACATGAGCTAAAAAAAGAGTTCACCCCAATTGGGGAATCGTATACAAGCCTATATCGAAAGTTGATGCAGTTGAAGTTGATTGAACCTATCATGCCGCGTTATGTGAATCCAAATTCAAAAGTTTTCGACTCCAATGCAAGATGTGAGTATCACTCTAACACCCAAGGTCATAGTACCGAAAATTGTTGGACATTAAAGAAAGCCATTGAAAATTTGATTGAAGAAAAGGCAATTGTGGTAACAAACAATAAGGATACTCCTAATATCACAAACAATCCGCTCCCAGCTCATGATAATATACATTTTATTGGGATTTATGACGATCGGGATTATAAGCAGTCTGGCAAGACAGAGATGGATGTTGGAACCATATGGCAAGAACCAAAAGTGATAGTGAGTCCACCGCAATTGGCACCGTTGATAGTGAAAGGTGCGAGTTCTAGTTTGAACTTGGCAGGTTCTGAAAGAATGATTCTCTATGTCCCTGGAAGCACAAAAAAGGTTGAGGTTCAATTGGGTGGGCCAAAACTTTACATCCCTGGGGGTCTTCAAAAGATCATTCCGAATAATAGTTTGAGAAATATAACAGAGCCAGTTGTGATCTGATTTGTTGCACAAGTCCCAGTGAAAAACACAAAAGCTATTCCCTGGAATTATAACAAGACTGTCATGATATACGGAGGAAAAGAGATAGTTAAAGAAACAGATGAAATGGGGGGTTTGACCCGCTCTGGAAGGTACTACTCACTAGAGGAATTGAGAAAAGCTAAGCAAGCCAGGGAAAGTCACTTGCCAGTGAAAGAACCCGTTGCAGAAAAAGAAGCGGAGGAATTCCTTAAGAAGATGAAAATGAAAGACTACTCAATCATTGACCAACTAAGGAAAACCCCTGCTCAGATATCTTTGTTATCTCTGCTTTTGCACTCGGAAGAGCATCGCCGTGTGTTGATCAAAACTCTGAATGAGGCATATGTCTCAGAAAAGACAATAGTGAATCAGCTAAAAAATTGGCTGAAAGATTCTTTGAAGTAAATAGAATTACTTTCAGCGATGATGATTTGCCTGAGGAAGGGGCTGGGCACAATAGAGCTTTGCATCTTATGGTGAAATGTGAAGGGTACTATGTAAAATGTGTTATGATTGACGGAGGTAAAGTGTAGATGTATGCCCTTTTTCTACTCTACAATAGCTGAACATTGACACTAACAGAATTCGAACTAGTAATGTCAGCATTAGAGCTTTTGATGGTTCAAGAAGAGACACAATTGGGAAAATCTAACTCACCATGACAATCGGCCCGGTTGATTTTAACATTGTCTTTCAAGTGTTGGATATGGATACTTCCTATAATTTTCTTCAAGGAAGGCCGTGGATCCATATGGCCAGAGCTGTACCATCCACCCTATATCAAATGGTCAAATTCGAGTATGACAAGCATGAAGTTGTTGTTCATGGGGAGGATGACTCATCCGTCTATAAAGACATGTCCCTTCTATGTATCGAGGCCAAGGAAGGGTGTGAATCCATCATATATCAAGCTTTTGAGGTGATTGAGGTTGACCAAGTGGAAGAAGGAAAACCAATTCTGCATCCCCATCTTTCAGCCACATCCATAATGGTAGTTGTGCTGATGTTGAGGAATGGCTATGAACCAGGAAAAGGATTAGGATCCTCTCTGCAGGGAATTATGAACCCTATTGCTCCTTTTTCGAAGAAAGATACCTTTGGCTTGGGTTTTAAACCAACATCAGTTGACATAGATAGAGCCAAGTCCCACAAAAAGAATGTTTGGAATTTGTCCAAACCAATCCCTCACATTGCCTGCTCTTTTGTCAAACCACAATTTGAAGAAGTCCAAAATCCTGCTACTCAAGATGACATTGATGAAGCTTGCCAGGGTCTCAAGGGGATGTTCTATGAGATCAATATGGTTCAAGTTGGTGAGGTCCCTAGCCGTGCAAGTATTCAGTTGATTGGTCCAGATACCTCGCTCAACAACTAGGAAGCAACTCCTCTTCCCATCAGGAAGGAGTCTTGGTAGTCTGTTTTGTTGCTTTTTCTGTATTTGGATTATTTTAAGGGTTGTAATCCAGATATTTTAGTTTAATTGCTTTGCTTTGATGTTAACTCTTCTATCCTTTTTAATTCAATGAAATGAAGTTCCAGTTTCATAGTAAGATTATGTCTTTTAATTTCCCTATTTTTGTTAATTTCTTATCATTTTCAGTTTCGTTAATGCTGGTTTTAAAAACATGACATGCACGCGGAATTGATGCCCAGATCTTAAAAAGCTGTCTAATCTCGAAATAATGAATAAAGAAATTGAGTATGATGAAGATGAGGCTCTTAAGGAAATAAAAAGGGAATTGGATCAATTTGAGAATAAGCCTAAGCCTAACTTAAATGAAACTGAGGCAATTAACCTGGGAAGTATTGAAGAAACCAGAGAAACAAAAATAAGCATTCATATTGAACAAAAGACTAGAGATGCCATAATTCAAGTTTTGTTCGAGTACAAAGATGTATTTGCTTGGTCGTATGATGACATGCCGGGTTTGAGTGCCGATTTAGTGGTCCATAAGCTTCCCACATACCCTAATTTTCCACCAATCCAACAAAAACAAAGAAATTTTAAGACAGACATGAGTGATAAGATTAAAGAAGAAATCACGAAGCAACTAAGTGCAAATGTGATCAGGGTCGTCCGATATACTACATGGTTAGCAAATGTTGTGCCGGTTCCAAAGAAGGATGGAAAAATCAGAGTTTGTATTGACTATAGGGATTTAAACAAAGCAAGTCCAAAGGACAACTTTCCCTTACCCAACATTCATATCCTTGTTGACAATTGTGCTAAACATGAGATCCAATCTTTTGTGGATTGTTATGCCGGTTATCACCAAATTATGATGGATGAAGAAGATGCAGAAAAAACCGCCTTCACCACTCCATGGGGAACTTATTATTATAGAGTCATGCCATTTGGTTTGAAGAACGCAGGGGCAACTTACATTGGGGCCATGACTACCATATTCCATGACATGATGCACAAAGAGATTGAAGTGTATGTTGATGATGTGATCATTAAGTCCAGAACACAAGTTAACCATGTGCAAGACTTAAAAAAGTTCTTTGAAAGGCTATAAAGGTACAATCTCAAACTCAATCCAGCCAAATGCGCATTTGGAGTTCTTTCTGGGAAGCTTTTGGGTTTTATAGTTAGTCGAAGAGGCATTGAGTTAGATCCCTCCAAGATAAAGAACATTCGAGAGCTGCCTCCCCCGAAGAACAAAACAAAAGTCATGAGTTTGTTTGGGAGGTTGAACTACATCAACAAGTTCATCGCGCAACTTACAACTACATGTGAGCCCATTTTCATGTTGTTGAAAAAGAATGTCGTTATCGAGTGGACAGATGAGTGCCAAGAAGCTTTTGATAAGATCAAGGAATATTTGTCAAATCCCCCTGTTTTGGTCCGGCCGGAACCTGTTAGGCCTCTGTTTTTATATCTGTCAGTAATGGATAGTTTTTTTGGTTGTGTTCTGGGTCAACATGATGCCACATGCAAAAAGGAACAAGCAATATATTATTTGAGGAAAACGTTCACCACTTATGAGGCCAAATACACTCTTTTAGAAAGGACATGTTGCACCTTAACCTGGGTCGCCTAGAAGCTTAGGCATTATCTTTTGGCCTATACAACCTGCCTCATATCCCGAATGGATCCCCTGAAGTACATCTTTCAGAAGCCGATGCCAACTAGAAGATTGGCAAAGTGGCAAATCTTGCTCACAGTGTTTGATATTGTTTATGTCACTCGCACTGCCATGAAGGCACAAGCTTTGGCTGATCATCTGGCAGAAAACCCGGTTGATGATATGTATGAATCTTTGAACACATATTTCCCAGATGAAGAGGTTAATTTAGTTGAAGAAGTAGTCCAAGATGACAGTCAAATTTGGAAACTATACTTTGATGGGGCTGTCAACATCAAAGGCATAGGGATTGGGGCAATTCTTGTATCCCCTACTGGGCAACATTACCCTTCCACAGCGCGACTTTGTTTTTTCTATACAAACAACACGACAGAATATGAAGCTTGCATCATGGGTCTGAACATGGCAATAAACCTAAATGTGCATGAACTGTTGGTGATGGGAGATTCAGATTTGCTTATTCGGCAGGATCAAGGTGATTGGGAGACTCGAGACATAAAGCTCATTCCATATAGACAATGTGTGGAGGATCTTAGCAAAAGGTTCAAGTCCATCGAGTTCAGGTACATTCCTAGGTTTCACAATGAATTAGCTGATGCCTTGGCGACCCTGGCCTCAATGCTTCCATATCTGGGTAATACTCACATTGACCCATTAGAAATTCAAATTCGGGATCAACATGGTTATTGCAATACAATTGAAGCAGAACTAGATGGTGAACCATGGTACCGTGATATTAAACAGTTTCTGAAAACAAGAGAATATCCGGAACATGCTAATAGGAATCAAAAGAGAACCATTAGGCGTCTCTCTAATGGTTTCTTTTTGAGTGGGGAAATCCTATACGAAAAAACTCTAGATTTGAATTTGTTGAGATGTGTGGATGCCAAAGAAGCTGAAATGATTATGAATGAGGTGAATTCGGGAGTTTGTGGTCCGCACATGAATGGATATGTTCTAGCAAAGAAAATCTTTCGGGCAGGATATTATTGGCTTACTATGGAGCAAGATTGCTTTCATTTTGTTCGCAAGTGCTACCAGTTTCAGATTCACCGTGACTTGATTCACTTGCTGCCTTCAGAGTTGTATCCTATGTCGGCTCCTTGGCCTTTTGTTGCTTGGGGAATGGACGTCATTGGCCCAATCGAGCCAAAAGATTCAAATGGGCACAGATTTATCTTGGTTGCAATTGATTACTTCACCAAATGGGTGGAAGCTATTACATTGAAAGCAGTTACCAAGAAAGCAGTAGTAGACTTTGTTCACTCCAACATCATCTGTCGTTTTGGTATTCCAAAAACCATTATTATAGATAATGCTGTTAATTTGAATAGTCATCTGATGAAGGAGGTATGTGAACAATTTAAAATTGAGCATCACAATTCTACTCCTCACCGTCCCAAAGCTAATGGAGCTGTTGAAGCTGCGAATAAGAACATCAAGAAGATTCTTAGGAAGATGATCCAAGGGTCTAGACAATGGTACGAGAAACTGCCTTTTGCTCTTTTGGGATACCGGACAACTGTCCGTACATCAGTTGGCGCAACGCCCTACTTATTGGTTTATGGAACTGAAGCGGTCATACCTGCTGAAATTGAGATTCCCTCTTCCCTCTCTCCGAATCATTGTTGAAGTAGGGATTAAGGACACTGAATGGGTGAAGTCCCGATTGGAACAATTGAGTTTGATTGATGAAAAATGTATGGAGGCAGTTTGTTTTGGTCAGTTATACCAACAAAGAATGGCACGCGCTTACAATAATAAAGTGCGCCCAAGACAATTTGAGGTAGGACAACTTGTTTTGAAACATATCTTTCCGCACCAGGAAGAAGCAAAAGGAAAGTTCTCCCCGAATTGGCAAGGTCCTTACCTCGTCAAGAAAGTATTGTCAAAAGGAGCTCTACACTTGGCAGATATAGAAGGAAAGGTGATTGATATATCCGTCGACGCAGATGCGGTCAAGAGATACTATGTCTGACATGGCTCTATTGGGGCATTCTTATATTTAGCATTCTCAGGTTGGGATGACGAAAGGCTATCATTCTCGCTACCCAAATACTGGTCAACCCTAGTTATCCCTTTGAAGCATTGTTTATATTTCTTTGTTTTCCCCTCTTTTGGAACCAATGTACTTAAAAAAAATAAGGAAAGAAAACTCAAAAAAAAAAAAATCATCAAAACAAGTTCATGTTAATTGAACTACGTCTGACCTGATTTCGAAAGGATACGTAGGCAGCCTCACTCTGGGGTTCGGTCACACCAAAACAAAAATCCATATTTTCCCAGTATTCAAAGAAACTGGGGCATGGTTTTATTTTATTTTTGATGGTTGTTCCATCAAAATGGTTCCAAAAGTTATAATTCAGTTGAATAGTTCTTTTTACCTTTCCCTGCTAAGACCTTCTGATCAACTTTTGAGAATGCTAAGTCAGTGTACTACGGGTAATGCCTTAGCCATTGAAGAGAGAAAAAATAAATGAGAGAGTCTTATTAGTGAAAACCTTCACGGGCACTATAAGGCAATGGTGAGTTGAGAGAAAGCAAATGAGAAAGGTCAAATGGTGAAAACCCACATAGGGCATCATTGATCGATTTAAGGCTTCGTACATCCCGACACAAGCATGGTCAAGACAAAGAACTCAGTTTCAAAGTTAAGTTTACAACAAATTTCGAGAATTAGATGGTTCAAACGGATCGGGCATCCAGTCCAAAGGGCATGTCTTGTTCATTGAAGTCAGCATATTTCCTCCAGATAAGTCATTTCTTATTGTTTCCTCTGAAAGGGACACTTCTTGATTAAGTTGTAATACCTATTAGTTCACCTTCTTATTTTCTTTCGCATTACCTTTTTGAGTCCCTTTCAGTATAATCTTGTCAAAGCAAAGCAAAAGGATGCAAAATGGGTTATAGTTTCCCCGTTATATAAAGCAAAGATTGCTGGGCATAAACCGTATGGGCAAAGGCATAAAGCCATCTGTGATTTTCCTTGACGTGCAAAATGCTGGAAGGACTGAACAATGTTCTAAGGGTCAACAAAAGTTACTCAATTAAAAAGTTTTTGGGAGCAAGGTTGTTTGCACCATAAACACAAATGGTGATAGGCACAAAATAGTCAGGTTTCGATGCTAAGAAAGAAGATCTCCAGAAAGTAAGGATAGAATCTCCCGGCAATTTGTACGACCATCGACGGAGTTAGTTTTTCTAACAAGTGTAATGGACGCAAGGTCAAGTCACCCAAGAAATCAAGGCCATAAACTGACCACCATTTTAAAACTAACGAATTTTTCTTTGTTCAAAGTAGGAACTGAACAGTTTTAGGAAACAGTTCGTGAAGGGACGAACCCTACCAAGTGAAGTTCTCAAAATCCTTGATTTTCTTCCAATATACATATAATCATGCTATTTTTAGTTTAATTTTAGGGAATCAATAGCCTATCTTCAACACAGGGTACTACATCCCCTGGTTACATTTCTCATTGCTAACATAGGGTACGACATTCCCTAGTAGCATCTCAGAGTGCCACGAGCCTCGTCTTATCGCTAACACAAGGTACTACTTCCCCTGGTTACATTTCTCATTGCCAACATAGGGTAAGGCATTCCCTAGTAGCATCTCAGAGTGCCACGAGCCTCATCTTATTGCCAACACAGGGTACTACATCCCTTGGTTATATTTCTTGTTGCAAACATAGGGTACGACATTCCCTAGTAGAATCCCAAAGTACCACGAGCCTCATCTTATTATCAACACAGGGTACTAAATCCCCCGTTACATTTCTCATTGCTAAAATAGGGAGCGACATTCCCTAGTAGCATCTCAGAGTGCCACGAGCCTCATCTTATTGCCAATACAGGGTATTACATCCCCTGGTTGCATTTCTTGTTGCAAATATAGGGTACGACATTCCCTAGTAGCATCCTAGACTACCACGAGCCTCATCTTATTGTCAACACAGGATACTACATCCCATGGTTGCCTTCCTTCTTGTTAACATAGGGTATGACAATCCATATTATAAAATATTATTTAAAAAAAATCTTATTTCTTTTTCAATTCTTTATTTTGCAATAGAAAGATAATTTATTGTATTTTCAATAAATCACAAAACTTTTCTAGTGCAAACTTGTGATGACCCAAAAGGTCATCTTATATTTTAGAACTCGAATATGCGCTCTTAAGCCTTAAAAATCTCATTTTTACTCTCCTCGATTTGCGTGCACAGTCCGGGCAGGTTTTCGAAAAGCTTTTATGTTGAAAACTAATGAAAATAAGAATTTTTGCCTTAAAAGTTAATTTTAGTTGATTTCGGTCAATAGTTTTGGTAAACGGGTCCGAATCCGTACTTTGACTGTCCCGGTAGGTCCGTATCGAATTATGGGACCTGGGCATATGCCCGGAATCGAATTTAGAGGTCCCTAGCTTGAGTTATGAATTTTTGATGAAAATTATTTATTTTTAAGAATTGATTGATATTTGGCATTGTTAGTATCGGGTCCGTATTTTGGTTCTGGAGCCCGGTACAGGTTCATTATGATATTTAAGACATGTCTATAAAATTTGGTGAGAATTGGAGTTGATTTGACGTGATTCAGACGTCCAGTTGAGAAATTAGAAGTTTTAAAGTGTTCTTGAGAATTTCATTTGAATTGGTGCTAAATTTAGAGTTCTAGGTGTTATTTTGGCGATTTGATCGTGTGAGCATGTTCGTATGATGTTTTTGACTTGTGTGCATGTTTGGTTTGGAGCCCCGAGGGCTCGGGTGGGTTTCGGATAGGGCACGGGATGTTTTGGACTTTGAAAATCTGGTTTTTTTGCAGAATCTGTGTTCTGGCATGTCCTTCTTCGCATTCGCGAAGGTACTCTAGCGAACTCGAAGAGTAAACTGGGCAGCTGAGGATTTCTTCTTCGCGAACGCGAAGGCTTGGTCACGAACGTGAAGCAATAGGGGTGTTACCCTTTGCGAACGCGACAAGCCCATCGCGAACGTGTAGCGTTAGGCACTGGGGATAGAGAGTCAGCCATTTCTTCATCGCGAATGCGAGCAATGTCTCGCGAACACGAAGACCAGGGAAGGGTAGCCTACGCGAACGTGAGCACTGCCTCACGAACGCGAAGGCTTGGCAGCCCATACACTTCGCGAACGCGACAGTGCTCTTGCGAACGCGATGAACACTGTCGCCCAGCACTTAACAGAATCCAAAACGAGATTTTTGCCAAAAAACTCATTTTTCTTAAAAATCAAACGGTGAGGGGCGATTTTTCAAGAGTCATTCCTTCCCCAAATTGTTGGTAAGTGATTCTAAACCATTTTATTTCAATTGCCCATTACATTTCTTGAATTTTTAACCTAAAATCTAGAGTTTTCATGGTAGAATTAGGGGTTAGGGTAGAAAATAGGGATTTCGGGAATTTGGGGATTTAGACCTCAATTTAACGTCGGATTCCAAAATTAATTATATATTCGGGTTCGAGGGTGAATGGGTAAAAAGATTTTGGTTCGAACCTCGGGTTTTGACCAAGCGGGCCCGGGGTCAATTTTTTGACTTTTTGGAGGAAAAAATAGATAATTTAATTTATGCAATATAATTAATTCCTTTAGCAATATTTGATATTATTGAGTCATTTTTGAATAGATACGAGTGGTTTGGAGGTGAATTCCAAAGGAAAAGTTGTGATTGAGAATTAAGTGGCCTTCGGAGCAAGGTAAGTGTTGTGTCTAACCCTGACTTGAGGGAATTAGGAACCTTAGATTATTTTCTAAGTGAAATTCATGTGAGCGATGTATATGTGAGGTGACGAGTACCTATGCGCGGCCAATTTACCTATTTTTTTCACGTTTCTCTGTTTTTCTGATATTGTCTCATTCCTATGCCAAATTGTTACGTGTTATACTAGTGTTGTCCAAATTATCGTTCTTATTATGTTTACAGATTTTTCTGGTGATAATTGAATTTTTATTTCAAAGTTGAGATTGATATTATGGAACCAAATATTGAAGTAAGGTTTGTACTTGTTATTCTATCTCCCTGTTGTTATTTATGCATTGCATTATGGTAAGGAAGAGTGTTAATGCACGAAGGGTGATGCCGTGCCATATTGTGAGTGTTAATGCACGAAGGGTGATGCCGTGCCGTTTGTAAAAATTTTATGGTGAGATTGAGAGTAAAAGCATGAAGGTTGATGCCGTGCATTTTTCCTTACTGTATTCACTATTCTTGTTGATTCATGGTATATTGACTGCTCCGGTAATCATTCTGTTGTAGTTCTTTATCTATGTATTCTCCTCAGTATGTTTCCCCTCTCGACATTTCCTGTTTAGTTCTTCATTCCTGTTATTTGCATATACTCTGTTAAATTGTACATGTTGATTTGTAGGTACCTTGCCTTAGCCTCGTCACTAATTCGTCGAGGTTAGGCTCGACACTTACCAATACATGGGGTCGGTTGTACTGATGCTGCACTCTGCCTTTTCTATGCAGAATTTGATACCGGCTCAGGTTGATCGAGATGTACTATTGGTCCGCTGTCCGGAGACTCAAGATAGACCTGTCGACGTTCACAGACCTTGAAGTCCCCGTCTATCTTTTTATGTCCTACTGTTTTCTTTCATTCAGACAGTTATATTTCTTTC